AAATTTAAAAAAATTTTTTAAGTTTCAATTTGAAGTCTACTCTGCAAGATTAACTCATATGCCTTTTCTTTTCTTTTTAACTAGGAAAATATATTGGAAAGGATTCATTTTCACATAGTGCCAAGCAGAGACGCAGACATGTGTACTTCTAAGTCTTGTATCACTCACCAAAAGTTTGCTATGACGCTGTATGAACAGGTACGGCAACTTAATTATTTCATTAGATACTTATGTTTTGTGATTGGTGGATTAAACATATGTTTTCACCTACAGTGTGTGTGTCGTAGCTGCGGAGCATCATCAGATCCTCTGCCTTTTACAGAATTTGTGCGGTACATTTCTACAACAGCTCTATGGTAAGAACCTATTAAAGCATATTTATAAACACTGTTAGCTTTTCTATGTTAGGAGCATTGATCCTATAAAAGTATGATAATGAGGGTGGGAAAGGCGAGGGAGGGAAAAAAGAAGAGCTAATACCAAGGGCTCAAATAGAAAGTAAATGTTTAGAAAATAATGATGGCAACATATGTACAAATATGCTTGATACAATTGATGTATGTATTATTATAAGAGCTGTAAGAGCCCCCAATAAAATGATCTTGAAAAAATATATATATATGAACTTCTACTGTATAAAAAAACAATTAGAATATTGCTCTTACTATATACTTTTACCAAGTGTTTACAAACACTTGGTAATATAATTAACATCTAATAAGATCCAAACTGTTTTTGGAAAGTTTAATACAAAGCACATAAGTTGGATCAATGATGAACAATTAGAACATATCAATGCAACAGTTGATAAATAGTATTAATATATGCATCAGTGTGCAGCATGAATACTTTGTGCTCATCAATTTCATAATATTACTAAATTTGATGACTTCCTCTTAGATACATATAGTACCTAATACTCTTAAAGATTTTTGAATAATAACTATTTGGGTATGTTTAATATCTTTGTTACATAATATACAGTGAGAATTGGAGGAACAAGTAGGTTCATTTCCATCCCCCTGTGTGTGAAAAGTGGAATGATGTTGGAACAAGGATAGGCTATGGATTAAAAAGAATAAAACTTCAACCCTGCTTTGAAACATTTTAATAAAATTGAGGTAATCTGATATACTATTTATGACAAGAAGTAGACCCCCCATGAACTCTGCCTGACATACTACAGATTGGATTGCAGGATCCAGAATTTTAGTTCTATTACAGTCTGTTTTTACTGATAGTAAGACTTGAATCCAAGTTATCAAACACTCCTTATGTCCTAGGCTTTATGTGAACTGTTTCTTTAACTTTAACAAAAACACCATTTTATTGACGAAGAAATAGGTTTAAAGAGATTGATCTGGTAAATGGAAAATTTAAGATTGGAGCCAACGTCTCTGACTTCACAACTTGCTTTCTTAAACACTACTCTGATTCTATCAATTTTGAAGAACCATGAAGCACAAATTAGTTCATCAGATTTAGTGCCTTCTAGTATATTTGCCCTTGACAAATGAGGTTGTCGATGATTTCATTGTGTCCTTAATTCCCATGGAAGCAACAGTCAAGAAATCAAATGATGGATGGCATTGGACAGGTCTGCTGCAAAGGCCTTCCTTTTGCATTAAAAAACAAAGATGCCCTTGACTTCGAGCTATGTTATTTTCATTCCCCTCATCTGCATATAAAATCTAGATAGTGAATAAAGAAGACCAAAGCAGAATTGATGCCATTGAGTTTTGTTATTGGTAAAAAGTGTGAGCCACTAGAAGAACAAACAAATCTGACGTTATAGAATTAGTCAGAATGCTCCTTAGAAGAGAAGATAACAAGACTTTGTCTCACATGTTTTGCACATGTGATGAGAAGTCCCTAGAGAAGAACACCGTGCTGGGTAACATCGAGCGTCAACAACAAAGTGGAAGACTCGATGAGATGGCCTGGGTGTCTGCAACAATGGGCTCCAACACAGCAGCAATTGTGAGGATAAGACAGGACCGCACAGCATTTCATTCTGATACATACGGTCTCTATGATCTAGCCAGATGTGGTAGTGCCTAACAACTGCTTATCTGTGACGTACTGCAGAAGAATAAATACGTTCAGTAGATTAAATACCTGTAGATAGTTTGTACTGTGGAGTCTTAAAATATAGTCAGCTCTAACCAAAACAAAATCAAGTCCACTGCTGTAGTGTCAATCTGACTCATAGTGAGCCTTGAGGACAGAGGAGAACGCCCATAGAATTCCCAAGGCTGTAAATCTCTACGGACGCCTATTGCCACATTATTGTGCCACTGACCTCTGATGCTTTGCCGAGTGCTTTAACCACTGTGCCACCAGTGACCTGAATAACCAGCTCTGGGACTGTTATGTTACTGGAGTTGAACCAGAGCATCTCGAGTGGAAACTACTAAAGGTGTTCAACTTAATCTTACAATTCCTTGGGGGAAAGTTTCCTTTTTTGCAGGTGCCTTAATATATAAAAATGTGACTCTAGGGGAGGTGGAAAAAAAAGCATCCCATAACCTTTGTAACCACCACCCATGCCCTGATGAAATGGTTACTATTTATTATAGCAACAAAAGCTATCACAAATGACCTTGGTTGTAGCATGTGCTACGTCAGCAAATCACTTTCTCCTAACTAAAAGTATTAACTTTGTTTATGGGAACTTTGGAACACAATGTTGTTGTTTATATTGGGCCAAAGTTCATAAACTCATGTTTATAAATATTTACAACATATGAATAATTGATAAGTAATATTTTAAAAGAAACATTTAACATATGCCTTCAGATAGAGCATCAGACTTGACTTGTAGCAGCAAATAAATATTTATTTACCTGTTCCACTATTATTATTTGCCTGAGAGTTTTTGTTTTGCTTTGTTTTGTTGTTGTTGTTTTAGCACATTCCTGCCAGATTTTATCATTTTTCATTTTATGGAAATTTACTTTTTTAAAGATGCCATCCTGATTAAAAATAGAAATAGTGATTCAAGTCTCTATCGGATATTTAGTATTTGCCATGTACAAATATTAAATCTGATTTAAGTTCGTAGGCCGTCATTGAGACTGCTGCTTTCTTTCGTAGCAATGAAGTCGAAAGAATGATGGAAAGACACGAACGCTTCAAGCCTGAAATGTTTGCAGAATTGTTGCAAGCGGCAAATACCACTGATGACTATAGAAAATGCCCCGTAAGTATAAGTTGCAGATTATTATGCTTCTGTTTACAAAAATAATAAACATTCAAAAACTATCATGTTTTGTAGAAATATTTCAATATTTCATTTTTTCCAGTATTCTTTGATACTTTCATATTCTGTGGTCTTTTATATCAGCCCTATATATATTTTTCTCTTTAATAACTCTGGAAGATTTGAGATGACATATATAGAGTAACTGTTTTAAAGTGCTGAATTATTCATGTGATAAAAGAGGAAGTTGATATTTTTTTACATACATGTGATAGGGTGTCTTATTGTTTCCCCATCTAGTATTATTAATAGGTTCAAGGACTTTACTTAGCCTTTATTAAAGTTGAATTTCTGTTTATACATATGCATATATATATAAAATATTAAAGTATAGCTAACTTAGAATCAGCTGCTTAATAATTAATACACTTTATTAAAAATGTGTTTCTGGCATACTAAAGGAATGCATTTCAGGTATATGTTAATATTTGTCATTTTTATAATGCAAACTGTATAAGGCTCTCTCTCTGATTGTTCCAAAGCTTGTCTTTGTGGTTTTTGTTTTTTTATTTTAGAGTAACTGTGGCCAAAAAATAAAAATCCGTCGTGTTTTAATGAACTGCCCAGAGATTGTTACAATTGGCTTAGTCTGGGATTCTGAACATTCTGACTTGACTGAAGATGTTGTTCGGAATCTAGCAACACATCTTTTCCTACCTGGGGTATGCCATCTGCTTTTGTTTTCTTACTTTTTCTTTTAAAATTCCTTCAAAAGATCCTCATGTATTATATAGCACACTTAACTTTGTTTTTCAAAACTAACTTGCCCTTATTAAAGGAAATGTATAAACTAAACTATCTGTATACATTAGAAAGTGTGTATATAATTCTATGAAGGTAAGTTAAAAAATATTAATAGTAAGTTCTAGTTCAAAACTGCATGGGTTTATGGCAAACAAATTTTCTTCAAATAAATCTCTGAAATCAGTGAGTGACTGCCAACAAGTTCTCTCAGTACTGCATTTGTCTTAGACTTGCTGGGTTACACACACACACACACACACACACACACACACACACACACACACACACACCACCCCCTCCAAACCAAGGCAATCTGAGCCACCAATTTAATTCAAGGTAGAGAGGTCAACTCAGAACATTATGGTGACAATCATGGGGACTTACTATGAAGAACTTAGAAGAAAATTGAAAATCCCATTAATGAGAAAACAAAAGCCAGGAGAGTTGCACTAGAAATCTGGTTCTATCGTGAAAATATACCAGCTTGTTAGAGGGTAGCTAGGGCTGTCTTAGGAGAATTTCATTTAAAATCTTAACTTCATCACCTTACAGCCCTGATCTTGCCCTTTCAGGCTTATTTTTGTTCCCAAATCTCAAAGGAACATTGAAAAGGAACAAGACTCAAATTCCTCCAGGAAGCCAAAGCTGCCGTTTGACATGATGGACGTCAGAGAGCACAGAATTCTCTAGAGGAGGGTGCAGATACAGAGCACCAGAAGTGTGTAGACCTAGATGCGGAGAAGGAGATGTCAAAAAGCAGTAGCTTCATAGCTAGACACTTGTGTTTAATGAAGGTTTCTGAGATGTTATAGCAATACTTCTTTTACTCATAAATGTACCTGAAAATAATTATAAATGTTACTATTACAGTGAAACCTGTGAGAGCCAGAATTTGCCAGGACTAAGCCTCATTTTCCTTAGTGTCTCACATTTTCTACCTATAACAGGGCGGAGTCTTACCATCTTCCTAGCTTTCTTTTTCGTGGAAATTATTTGCATTTCCCTTCTCTTACAAGTTTTTGCTTTACATAGGTTCTGATTTTGGCAGGTTAGGCCATAGTAATTTAACAATGGTTTAGAATTGACATTTATAGATAGTACTGATCTCTTTTGATATTTAGTGTACCAGGGTGTTTCAAAAAGTTTGTTGAAAAATTCCATCACCTTTTAATTACATTTTTCAACAACTTTTTGAAGCCCCTATATTTTAAAATGTATTTTTACAATTAAACTAATTTTATGTTAGTTTAATACTGTGTTAATGTTCAGATAGTATGGGTTAGTCAACAATAGTCAGGAAATATATAAATTATCTTACATATTGATTTTATGTAAGGATCAATTTTCATACTGGACTCTTGAACCAAATTATATGGTGAATTTGTGATAATGACTTAATGTTTCTCATCAAAACTCTAACCAAACTGACAGCCATGGAGTTGATTCTGACCCCACAGCGACTCTATAGGACAGGGGAAAACTGGCCGTGGGGGATCTGGAGACTGAAAATCTTTCTAGGAGGAGAAGGACTTACTGGTCTTTCTCCCATGGAGTGGCTGGTGGTTTTGAGTTTCTGATCTTGTAGTTGGTAACCCGGCTCATAGCCCAACCACTATGTCACCAGGACACCATTTAATGTTTCTCAAAATCCAATTAAAAGTACTGATTCTTTCAACTTTTTAATGTTGATGTTGTCTTCAGGACTAACATCAGGGGGTTTTAAAAATCTGGGAAAATTCCATTATCTCATAATTCTTTTTTCTAATGAATTCATAATTCTATTTTTTTAAGCCTCTTTGTATTAGAGACTGTATGCATTAAATCATTCATAATGAATTAAATATGATTCATCAATGTACTGTTTTTTTAAAGATACAGTATAAAATGCACACTATAACTTTTTCAAACAGCTTTTTTATAGGGTTACTGATGAAAATGCCAAAAATAGTGAGCTTCACCTTGTTGGTCTAATCTGCTACACGAGCCAGCATTATTGTGCCTTTGCTTTTCATACCAAGAGTTCTAAATGGGTGTTTTTTGATGATGCAAATGTGAAAGAGGTAAGTGGTGCTTTTTCAAATTGGAATAATTATTTTTATTATTATTTTTTGGCATAAATGACATAATATCATTCAGCTCAAACTTCCTTTTTTCTTAACCTTTGGTTTCTTTTAAGCCAATTTATTTATTTATT